TTTTTATCCTTTTAGTAATTTTATTATTGTTTATATAGATGATATTTTAATTTTTTCAAAAGATATTGAAACCCATTTTAAACATTTATATTTGTTTGAGAAAATTATTATAAAAAATGGTCTAGTTATATCTAAACCAAAAATGTTATTATTTCAAACTAAGWTTAGATTCCTTGGTCATAAYATTGGACAARGAAATATTATTCCTATTCAAAGAAGTATAGATTTTTCTAATAAATTTCCTGATGAAATTACTGATAAAAATCAATTACAAAGATTTTTGGGTAGTGTTAATTATGTGGCACCATTTTATAAAGATTTGTATAAAGAAACTACAATCTTATATGAAAGATTAAAAAATAATCCTAAACCATGGACTGAACAACATACTAAAGCTGTTCAAATAATTAAAGAAAAAATAAAATCTTTACCTTGTTTATCTTTAGCAAATCCTAATTGGGATAAAATTATTGAAACTGATGCATCTGATTTGGGTTATGGTGGTATATTAAGACAAACCCATCCTGAATCAGGTAAGATATATATTATTAGATTCTGTTCAGGAAAATGGAATAATTCTCAGAAAAATTATTCTACAACTGCTAAAGAAATTTTAGCAATTGYTAAATGTGTTTTAAAATTTCAAGATGATTTATATAATCAGCAGTTTACAATTATTACTGATTGTCAATCTGCAAAATATATGTTTACTAAAGATTTTAAACATGATGTTTCAAAACAAATGTTTGCTAGATGGCAAGCTCATTTAGCACCATTTGATTTCAATATTGTTTATAGAAAAGGAATAGATAATAGTCTTCCTGATTTTCTTACTCGTGAATATTTGCAGAATAATTCCTCATAATACAGGAAGAGTTCTCTCCCCTACTAATAGTAGAGGAAGAGGTCATGGTCGTGGTCGTGGATTTATAATCCAACAAGGCAATAGACAGCTTATAGCTTCTTCAAATATTCCTCAACCTGAAGATCCCCTTTATAAGGAATTTCAGGAATTTTTAAAGGCAAAAAAGGGTAATACACCTACTTATGCTCAAGCAATACAAGARAATGAATCAAATGATGATTCTGAGTATATTTATAATAACTCGGAGGAGGTAATAATACTCCTAGAAAATAATGATATTTTGAGATATATTGAATCTCAAGAAAATCAAGAAAATCCTTGGCCAATAATGGAAAGATATCTGGATAATGCATCATATGCAGCTACCTCATATAAATCCAGATCTTATTATGAGCAATTGTTAATAGCAACCCAGACATGTGAAATATCTCATTTTACTGGGTCCAATACTAAAGTTTATAACTTTAGTAAAATTATTATTAAGCGGTTAATAACTGCTGAAGAATGGGGCATATCTACTTTGAAGGAGAAAGAATATTTTCATCCTGAATCAAAGGTTATGGTTAAATATACTTTCTGGGATTATATTGAAGCTTTCAATAAGGTTTTCTTATATGAAAATCCCCAGAAGACTCATTCATGGTTTATAAAGGTATGTGATCAAGTTTATAAACAGGTCATACCTCATTAGTTTCTACAATGGTGGATCTCATACGGTCCTAATATTGCAATTCTGCCAGAATTATATAAAGGTTTATATACAGATTGGTCTGAARCCTCTTCCAAATTAATGGAAGATAAAAGTCGTACTCATGTATCATTTGWGGTTATATCCTCTATGCATTTCTTTGTTGAATTCTCTATTCCATGGATATTCAAATGGATTCCAAAGGTGGATTATACTCCAGAAAAATTTCCTGTTTTGAAAAGATTATATCTTACAAAATTTTGGTCCAAGATGATGAAGAAAGATAAAGATGGTGTTCTAAATTCTCAAGATACAGTGAATCATATTCATCAAAAGATTGTTTTATATCAAGAGCAGAGAAGATTCAAAAAAGCTCAAGGACAATCAATGGCAGTCTCTCCTATCAGTCCAATGACACAAATTATGAATCAAATGAAGAAAACAGGAAAAGAGCTATCTCATGATGAGATTCTTGAAGAATATTTGAATTTAGTTCAAAAAGATCTGCATCAATATTTAGATCAAAAAGTTCAATCAAGACCCAATTCTTCTACKTCAAGTATGTCRGTKGAAGGAGAAAATAAGTTTCAATACTTAGCTGGTGAATCTCAAGACCCAAATGAAGAAGATTTATCCATTGATGATATTTTCTCAGTAATCAAGACTTCAATAATGAAGCCTCAGAAGACTGGAGAATGCTCTGGAACAAAGACATAATCATATAACAATGGGTCCCAGTTGAAGATTTTTGCACCACCTTTAATAAAGTGGTGGACCCCATCAATTATGCCAACTTTTATAAAGTTTTTTGTAATTTTGTAATAATTTAGGTGTAATAATTCACCTTTTCTCTTATCCTTATCTGATATTAGATTGAATTTGATACTAGTTTGAAGTCCGGGTCTATATAAAGGCCTTAGTAGCTTAGTTATAGATAAGAGTTCCCAGAGTTCTCTAGCCATCCTCCCTCCTACTTGTAAAAACTTTCTTTATAATATTTTGAGTATTTAATATATAAAGCTTCCAGCATAAGAATCTCTTTTCTTTCTTTGTAAGTATTCTTACTTTACTTTGTTTTATATTTAGTTTATATTTGTTTAAAAGGAATTTAGCCTAAATGACAGGCTAAATCTCTGTTAAACAATCTTTAGATGAAGAAGACAAATATATATAGTCCTGGCTACTATACTGGTTAAATCATGAGTTAATCAAAGTCTGGGATAATCTTCATAATTTGAAAACATAATGATCAATGTCCATAAGTCGTGCATTAAGCCGTTGTTAGCCATGTGAAGGCGTATTAAGGCCATTAAGTCATTGACTCGGACTAGTATCATCTTGTTTACAGATTATTGTTTAATTTGAAAACCCCATGACTCAATTAATATGTGGTTTAATCAGAAGGAGTGTGTGTGGCACACCCCGATATGGCTTCATCGTTATCATTTCAATAAAAGCAATATTCCTAAGTCTTTATGTCACAAAGAAATGTTGACTCAAAATTATAGCATCTCATGCATGTGTTAACAAGAGCTATAATATAACCAAATCACAAATGCCACCCTTATTCAATGTACATCTCTCCTTGATATGTCATCTTTATCTCATGCTACACCTCTCCTTGATATGTCACCCTTATCCCATAATACACCTCTCCTTGATATGCCACCTTTATTTCCTCATTAGATCTACAGATAAATTTGTAGTTTTAACTAATAATAGCCTCAAAACATTTTCATATCGACACCACATTCTTTCAAAAACAGTTATACTCATCTCAACAGTTTTGAAAGAAACAACAGGTTACTCTTCTCATCACCAAAACAGTTTTAAAACCGTTAAAACCACATTTGAGCAACAATAGACCTCATCGGACAAGGCATGGGCGGAGACTGCCCCTCATCGGCCAACACTATGGCCAATAACCCTTTCATGGGTCAATATCTACAATCCAGACAACACTTAGAAAATAAAAACATATTCACCGGTCACACTATGTCCAGTAACAACCTCACCCGTCAACCCTATGTCCGGTAACAACCTCACCCGTCAACCCTATGTCCGGTAACAACCTCACCTGTCAACACTTGAATATAAATAAACAAAACTGAGCAATGCTTTGTCCGATGAGCATCCTCACCGGACAAGGAGTTGGGTGATAAACACCCAATCCGATCAACACTTCAAAATCCCAACCATTTAATCCATTCAACACTTGGGCGATAAGGTGCCCAAATCAGACAACACCCTGTCCGATAAAGGTCTTCATCGGATAGCACTTCATCTGGTAAAGTCCTCACCGGACAATAAAAAAAAACTCAACTAACTTCACCGGTCAAAGCATGACTGATATGAGACCCTCATCGGACAACATTGGGTCCGATTACAAGCCTCATCAGACCATGCATTTATACATAAGAAATATATAACAGTTTATAGCAATTCTTATTCACAATCATAAAACTAGAATTTTACCAGCAGTATAATTTGAATTACAAAGTCTGCTGTTGAAAACTCACCTTTGAAACAAATAATTTTGAAGATGAATTATGCTCAAAGATACTTCCAGCTTGATCACAACTTCAACTATGAGATCACACACAAATTCTCACTCTTTTTCCTTCCCCAACTCTTTCTAAAAATGGCAGGAAGTATGCCTCTTCAAAATTCTTACCTTAAATACTCCTGCCTAAACAGGCGCCGAAGGTTTGAATGAAATAAAATTTCCCTTCCAACACATACCACATACATATGCATACATATATTTTTATACACAAGTACACATACATATATACTCATGCACATACTACTCGCATAACATTCTCATGCATGCATATTCACAAATTAACAAATAATCACATAACCAATAACTCAAATAATTACCTCCAAGTATAACCGGAACCTGGTTATCATAGAAGGATTAACCATAGTAAAGGTTGATGAAGAAATGGAAGGTCATACACTCATTAAACAAGGCAAGCTTTCACTAAGTTTATATATTAGTAGCCAACTTGTATTATTTTTCTCATATTCACTATGATTCTCACTAATGCTGACAATAGTTTATGTAATTCTATTCCACATCGTATATAAACAAATCTTCACTCAACAACTTCATCCAAGGGATCTAGGTATGTTTCAACTAGTGGTCATGCTGACCTTGAAGAAGAGGGATTTTGGTTCATTTTTTGAGGGGTTTATTTAATTAATTAAGGGCAAAAATGTCATAATCAGGTCAAGTGTAAAAGACATGTTTTGAGTTGATGTCACAAGAAAATCACTTGATAGGGCTGCATTTAACAATGTATAGAGGTGCAATTAGTCTTCCCCCTTGACTAAATAACAATTTTGACCTAAATAGACTTGTTCTGTCATTTACTACATCATAATGACCCTGATGTTTTAATAACTAGATCATACTATAGAAACAGCAGATAATCATATCCAAATTGCAACACAAACAATAACATAATATACTAAGACAACACAAACAGTAGGAAGCAAACATCATCATCATCATCCTAAACATTCACATACCAGAAATCCTAAACATATAACATTAACCACACCATAAAGTTTAGATCAACTCCCTCCTCCATAGAGGAAGGCAGCAAAAACACAGATTCAACAGAAAAACATGGAGTTGCACACATTCTCCTGCAGCTTCGGGAGCTGAGGAACAGGCACGGCTCCTGCAGAAGTAACTCCTGTGCCACCATGACTAGAGCTTGTTTCAGAGTGGTCCTCAAATTTCATAAACTGCCCCACCTGAGTTGCAGCAAGGTGGGCATAGCATATCGGAGCAACTGTTGTATAGTATGTTCAAAACGTCATCGTCCATCAATAATAATTCCATCAAGACAATTATAATTCAGTATGGACAGAGAGATTTGCTTACCAACAGAAATGGCAGTTGTACTACGCTGGTAACTGTAGAACACATACGCACGCACAGCATTAGGATTAACATATCATTGGATTATAAACGAAAATGGTGGGCCAGAAACTTACACATAAGATAAGGAATGCACAAGCTCCTGGAGGTCATCAGCTGTGAACCCAATCTCATCGTATAAAACATGGTAATGTGTAGGTCTTGTTGTTCCCTGAAGATTTTTAAAAAATAAATAACCAATAAACCACCGAAAAGGGAGTGGGGATAAAGTAAAAATGGTAAGATGCTCACTATCATCCCAGCATGTGCACACATGTAGAAGTCATTGTTCCGAGGATGACAAACTTTGTTATCAATCACAGTTCCTGTTTCAACATGGTTGATGGTTTAGCTTCCAAAACTCAAAGCCTCCAAGCTATTAAAGTTAATTACCCACCGGGTGGAACGTTATCAGGAGACCCTGGCTGGAAGAATTTGGTGTGATGATTTTTCTGTGCAATAATCACAAGGAACTTGGGGCACCATTTGTCGTCTAGAAACTTGCAGGCCTGCACCATTCAGAAAAAAAAAATTGCATGCCAAAGCTCGTCTTGTTAAAAACGAGCAGAGCTATAAAATCAACCATACCTCAATAATCTGGTCCAGCTCGATGTTCAAAACTTGATTAAACTGGGACTCGCTGACACCATCCCTGAAAATGGTACAAATCGAGTGAATAAAAAGAAGTTCAAATCTCAAATGCTTCTCAAGTAGACAAAGATTTTACCTGAAGATGATTATTTGATCCGGCTTTCGTTTTGCTGAGCTCACATAGAAATCGAGAAGTAATTCTCTGCCAGAAAGTAAATGTCCATGAGAACACCCTCAGTAAAATGCAAATTGAATCCAGATATAGTTTTCTATGCAAACAGTACCTCATGATGCCGTCATCTTCTGTATCTGAAACTTTCTTAAATAGAGAGTCGATCATCTCTACTTTGGGAGATTGAGTACGCACCGAAGCTCTATAGCGAGAGATCAAAGGCCAATGCCTTGAACTAACCACCTGAAAACCAATAACAACATCAAGTTAGCAACTCACCCATCTTCATTTGGATCATTACAAAGCACAAGAAAGTTACCGCAGCAATAGAAGGGATATCAGATTGACCCGGAGAACCATGCGAGACATCCATTCCAAGAATGATTGTGGGAGCTTTAGATACGATGGGAATAGATGGTGTATGCTCAACTGCCAACATAGAATTCAACCCTCCAAGCTGCAACCAACATCGGTTTTTTTTATTCTCTTCCAACCAATTGGATTTCATTCAACTGTTATAGCAATCTCACCTTGGCATTGATCTTAAGAAGTACATTCGTTAAATACTGATCATTGACTCGTGTGGGAGCAATACACTGGGTGACAATCCCGTATTCTGCAAGACACTTGCGCTTCCACGGACCTTAAAAGTTTCACAAGAGGATTTTGTTAAAAAAAAATAAGAATTAAAAATGCATAAAAAAGTAGATGATCAAGTACTACCATAAAGGTCAGAGTTCTTTCTCTCGGGTAGCAAGCAAAGAAGGAACTGTGGGGCACCAGGAAGTTTCGACTGTATGTTTTCAAACATTTTCTCCACCCTAACTAGAGGCGGGGCCCGCCTGTTCTGAGGACTTTCTTCGAAACAATCAAAAGGCTCATCAATTCGCTACATTTTTTAGACAAGCACAGTCAACCATTTGGTAATTATTGGGATTTGTGCCTCATAAAGCATCAAGTTTCGAATTATACCACTGTTAGTTAGAAAAAATATTTATCACAGCAAACGATTGATAGATTAAAGAAATCAAAACATACAATTCCTTTCAGCCCCCCACATTTGATCAGATCCTTAACAAGGTTGCGAATGTCACAACGAGCTGAGAAGTTAACGACAGCCCACTTTTCGATCTTGGTGGGATCCACAAGTTTCTACATTATCAAATCAAAGTTTGTTATAAGCCATTGCCACGGAAAAGCATATTTCATCTAACTTTTGATGTAGAAAGAAACAAGGAAAGAGGAATAGAAGGGCACCTTGTTGTTAAAATTCCACCGTCCATTTCGGGGGAAGAAGTCTTCTCCATTGCCCACTTTCAACTGCAATAAGATCAAAGCCAATATGCATAAACAAAAAAATAATAATAATAATAATATAACAGCAAACGTAAACATTGCCCGAAACAGATTATAGAAGTACCCTTGGGGCTGGCAGAACACGACCTTCGACCTGTGTAAAGCTACTATTTATCGATATGCCACAGGAGCGCAACAACGGCTCAGCATCATAGTTGTTGAGTTTCAATGCCTTGCAATCACATGAAACAAGATTATTATGTTTTTAGTTCTCCAAACACACAAACTGTCTGAATTTCATGAAAACCTACATCACTCAAAACCCGCATTCGCTCTTGAGGCTTCTGTCGTGATTTCTCAACCAGAGAGGATCGTTGCAGTGTGGAGAGTGCCTTTGTATACCGTTGTAACGAGACCAATGAACAGAGCTACAAGTGATCCAAACAAACAATAAACACACAAGGTGCAAAAAAAGAAGTTATATGCACATTTCTTATCAAGAAGTTATATGCACATTTCTTATCACTCTACCTCAAGGGGAAAGTATGTTGGCCGTTTCGGCCTCCCAACATTGATGCAAGGTAGATCACCAGAATAGCGCAATTCAATCTTGCGGTAGTTCACAAAATAATCATAAACTGTGACTTCCAATAGTTCAGCCTCCCCATTCTCATCTTTGCTTTTCTGTTTCAACGAAAACCTACAAGTTCCCATCGATTCACCCAGTCAACAATTGATTATTGCATACAAAATAACCAATAAAAATATACTTACATCTGTTCACTGCAACGCTTCTCACTCAGTCCAGTAATCTTGTATTCAGTATTAGTCGGACTGGTCTTCACCCTAAGGTTCTTTAGGGTCCGCTTAGCCTGATGAAAAGATAGAAACTTGCAATGTGAGACTGTACCACAGCACCCGGAAACAACAAGCGATCAATATATTACCTTTGCCCAGTCAATAGAATAAGGATCTTTCACGTTTTGGTTGTTAATTAGAAAATCCACCACTGGCCCAGGCTGGATGATCATGGTGGTAGATACGTCTGTTAATGGCAGCAAACAGTTAACCAGAAAAATCCTAAGTGAACTTTTGATAAGATAACTGTGCAGAGACTTTAGACTTTACCAATATTTAGGGATAGACCCCCCTGAGATGTACGAAAACTTGAATGGAATCCACGACAACCAAGAACGCCACCACCAACATCAGCAAAGTTCTTCACATCATTGTGGAAGAAGGATTGACGAACAAGCAGACAGCCCCTGTCATACAGATTAGATGAAGTTAGCCAAAAGATATATACTTTACTCAACAAACACTTTCTATTTCAGATAACTTACTGCTTGGCAGCATGTTGCCTGAGGATAATGTCAAGAACCCTTAACGCCTCTTGAGAGTTCTCTGACTCCTGACCGCGTAAAGCTTGTGCAATTGCTTGCATAGGAATCTTGGCTGCAAAACTCAGCTCAACTTTAAACGTTTTTGATTGATACTGGCGCCGCATCCTCTTCCTGTCCTTTTCACCGGGACTTCCAGGGCTGGTATTTCCATTGTTTCTGCATATTTAAGAACACAGATCCGTATAAGAACAAAGATCCATAACTAAATGCAGAATGGATGCTTCTAACATGCATACCTGCTTGAAGTAACATCCTCCAACACAACAGTGAACTCAAGTTTGTTTCTCGGAAGTGCACCAACAGTGAACAAGCTCTTTTCTCCATCATAAGCAAACTCTTTTCCAGCCAACTCACTATCATATGTTTCATGAACTCTATCAAGCACTTTCCTTCCTACCCCTTTTCCATCCACTGGTCGGCCATCTTCATAAAAAAGGGCAACCTGTTGGAATCAATTCGATTCGAAAGCAGTGAGATCATATAAGTTGTAACATTATGTAGTGGAAGAGAATGAATAACATACGCTGTAGTGAAAGAAGTGCCCATCAACGTTAGACACGTTGACTTTGAAGTGGTTGGTCAAGAGCTGGATTTTCTGGCCCTTGGTGGCCAACCCACGTCTAGCCATTGGCACACGCAACACCTTTTTCTTGATGGGTTCAAGAGCTTGTTCAGTGTCTGCTTTGATCGGGACCACATTTTCAGGAACAGGCGGAGGAGGTGGCAGAGCCTCAGCAGCTACTCCATTGCCATCGTTTTCATGTGAATCCATCACCAAGTCCTGTGTAACACACAATTAATATACATGCATGTTTAAAACTCATGATATCTACTCAAATCTGCACAAGAAACTGGAATCGTTCTTATCCAGTTCTCAGAAGATCAACATGAACCAAATTTGAAGCAACTATAATCAACAACATCTAGTGTAAAACACAGCACAAGGGGCCAAAGATCATACAAAAGGACAAACCAAAAGATTCGAAAATTTCTAATTCATAGAATTCAAGAATGATCAAACAAAATGTTCCTAACTTTTTTGGAACCACAAGCAACTCAGGCTAAGCTGAAAAGACAACTTCTAAATTCTTTTAACACATGTAATTGGGATCTATTTGCCCAAGGAAAAGATAAACTTTGCATGCAAGCAGCATAGGTTTCAAACGAGGCAGGAGGATACTACTTCAAACCACATAGTCAGTCACATAAGTCTATGGACCTCAAAAAATAACAGTTGCAGTTGGAACAAAAAGGATAAAAGAAGGTAACCAATTGGGTTCAAAGAGTAACCAAAAAGATAAGATGACCATGACCAAGTTAGAAGACAAAATAAAACAGAGAAACTGACCAAGCATGGAGCACCAAAGGCTCCATTTTTCCAACTCAATCCAAAGTGTAACCAAAAAGATAAAATTACCATGTTAAAATACAACATAAAACAGGTAAAACAAAAGAGTAAACTACCCCAGAAAAGGACACATAACAATTTCAAGAACCAGAATGGTGTACACATCATTCTGAGTTCATGTGTGTGGCTGTGTTGTGTTTGTTTGCAGTACGGCTGATAAAAAGATAGGCCGAGTTTTGTATCAAAACAAACCCAACAAATGGTCTTGCAAAATATTAACGTTTGGAACCGCTTTTGGATTTTCTGTTTTTTTAATAATTAACTAAAGTAAATAAATAAATAAATATATATATATTATATATATATATAAGCAAATAAAAGACTGTCAATCGCATTGTTGCGGCAAAAAGGATCTAAAAGGATGAGAAAGAAATGACATATGCAGAGGATGGATCAGGAAACTATTTTCAAAATCAGCTACAAAATAAATAATAGAAAAAAAATCAAACTAAACCCACAAAAGAAAATTTAAAGAAAAACCCAAAAAGGAATCTACGACTCCAAAAATTCTAAATCCACAAAAATAACACCAAACTCCTCTAAACTCAGATCATGCGGAAGACAAATCCGACCACCCCTCTTCTGAATCAACCAAAAAAGAACAAAAGATGCACCATAAATAATTTAGTGTCTTCAAAAAACAAACTACAAGGTGTATTTTTTTCCACCGAATTCCTGAAAAAAATGCTAAAATACACAGAATACAAAGCCAACTTCTGAAAACCCTCTTTTGAAGAAAATAAATAAATAACAGCAGAAGAAGAAACTGAAAATGGAACAAAAACTAATGTACTTGTAGATCCTGAAACTGGTAAATCTATTCAAAACCAAGCAAGAACAACAACTTTTATCGAGTCAACCGAGCCCGTACATGCATGAGAAAGAACAAAATGAGAAATAACACCAATTTTAACCTAAAATTCTGAGAAACCCTCGTTTGTATAAGAGGATCATCAACCAGAAAATTTAATAGAAACAGAAAACGAGTGAGAGAGAACAACGCAAGCAGTTTCTAGAGACTCGAATAACGGACACTTCACTAACTTGGTAAAATACCATCATGAGAAAAAGACTCCCAAGAAAATTTGATTAAAGCTTGACTCGATTTACCCAAAAACTACCAACATTGCTTTGATTTTAGGGTTTTCAACCAGGAAAAAAACGCCAATAAGATAGATTTAAGCAACTATAGCTAATTAAAGAAGGATTCTTCAAGAAACAGAGAAGTAGCATGAGAAAACCCACAAAAATTTACCTAAGTGATATGAAGAACAGAAGAGCAAGAACCCTAAAAACTTGTCCTCCGTCCAAGGACCTTTTCTAGAGAGAGAGAGAGAGGGAGTGAGGTTGAGAGTGATGTAGAGGATGGAGTTTTTGTTGTACAAGTATATTTATTGTGAGAGTAAATTAGATAGGCAACACTGACGGTACCATAATCTTGTGTTTAACACTGACCGGTGCCATAATCTAAATTGTATAAATATAAAAATGAACCTTTTTCATTTCTTTTCTATTTTATAATTTTTTTAAGTAACCATTTCATATTTATTCGAGTGAACGTCATTTCTGGTCCTGTATGTATTATTATGGTTATTTTGTAAAGAATACAAGACAACTCACATGTTATTCGACTCGAATTTTTTTGACTCAAACTTGAGCTCGACTTGACATATTAACAAGTCGAGTGGAGTCGAGCTACCCAATACTTGACTTGAAAAACTCGTGAGATACTCGATTTTTTATATATATAATTAGTTTTATAATATAATTTATAAGATATTAGAAGCGTACTCGCGCAACGCAGGGAGATATATCGTGATTTTAATATTTCATTTTATTCTTTATCTCAGTCGATGTTATAATATGGTTTTATGTGATTTTGAGAAAACGATGATGTTTTATTTTTGAATAAAATATATGTTTGAATATATCATAAAAATTTGACAAAAATATATCGATATTAGTATCAAATTAACTATTTGAAATTCCTCATTTTTTGTGTAATTTTTTAATTTAATTTATGTAC